ATTCAGGAAAGTCAAGTTTTCCTTGGATGAAATAGTCATCAGGAGCAATGTTCACACATATTCTAAATAGCATCCCAAATCCTTGATGAATTTGTATTCTACTGACTAGTTACTCACAATTCTCACATATATATAATTTGCTTTTTCAAAGGACCCAGCCAGTGTGCCAAATCTTCCAATAGACCCGGAGAGCCTGGAGAGTTCCCAGGTTATCGTCTTAAAACCCACAACGGAGCGCGAGGAGCCGACGGAAACCAAAAATTCGAAGAAAAATAAAAAAAAGAAAAACAAGAAAAATAAAGCCATCCAGCCTGATCTGCTTGGAGATCCATTAGAGTGTGAACAAAGCAATCAGTGAGTTTTTTTTTTTTTTTTTGATATTTGGATATGCAGATTTTTTGTTTGATTATATATGAATATAGTGATATATAGTACATGCAGACTGAAAGGGCTGGATTAGGGTCATATCGTACCAGTAAAGCTGATTCGAGTATAATTTTACACCTGGTAGCATTTGTCGAAAATCAGTGACTGCAGAATTTAAGAGGATCAAATATGTAAATATTGATTTATTTTCAGGAATGAATATGTTGCTCGTTGAAACTTCTAAAACAGCAGAGAGAAGCTCTAGAAAATGATAATGTTCCTTTACTCAAAGTCCCCCTTGCAATACCCACTCGGGAAACACCCTCGGAGCAGGTTCTAGAATTGGTAAGTTGTTGTGACCCCTCATAAAGACATCCTATGGGGTTATTTTTAGAATCTGGCATCATTGTTCAAAAATTATATCAAATAAAGTTTTCTAATTGTCATTATGATCAATGTTGCATAATGTTACTTTACAGTTAGATCCAGACAATCCCTTCTATCTCCCTGAACATCTGAGGGACAACCCTAAGGCTCTAGAATCAGTTTTACAAAGCAAGATGTCTGCTGGCTCTTCAGTGTCAAGCCAAGTATCTGGCATTTGTCCAGAGAGCATCACTGTCCTTCTAGAGTAAGTATATGAAAGGTGTTACCAAATTGTTATGGAAATATCTTCGTTAAGGCAATTTTTTTTTCTGAAGTTCCAATGTTTGGCTAATCTACTAATTTGACATTTTGATTATGAGAGGGTATATTGATAGATAAATAAATCTGTAATTTACTGAAAATAATGACCTTGCACAAGTCTGTAAAGGAGCTGGAAGAAAGGCCAACCACACAATGCTACATCTGGGGTGATCACAACCAAATAAAAGAATTGGCTTGGAAGGAACAGCATCTCTTCAGTATAATTTCACAATCTGTATATTTCATTACAGCTTCATGTATGATTGGCTGAAGTCGGAGGGACCCATGTCCATCACAGATGCTCGCATAAGACAATATGTGGAGGAAAACTTCCCCCCTGAAGCTAATACACATGTTGTACAGTGTGGAGGGATCAAACAGTTTCTCTTGCAGTCTATTAATTTTGCCATGATAGATGAAGTAATATGTGTCAGAGACCACGTTGTAAGAGCTCAAGAAATGATCCGGAAATCAGTATTGGAACGGATGAATACGTCACGGTACCTGATAAGGTCAGTTATTGCTCTGTTGGGGGTTGAATATTTATTGTGGATCACTAAATTTTTATTGATTGTGGAAATATTTTGATTTTGATATGTAATATTGAAAAAACTTGAAACCTGTCTACAGTGATGGTCGCAGAGCCAAGAAATTTACACACCTCTTGGATGACACAAAGAGCAGCTGTTCTTCGTCGTCTTCTGCATCCCATGTGGCAGGCTCAGGTGTCTCTTATGCCTCAACGGGACTTTCGGGTACAACAACTTCCTCAGTGAAGCTTGTCAATGGGGAAATGAACAATAACAGCAAGGACTCCAGGAAGAATGTACCAAGCAGCTTCACCAGTGGCCTTGATGAATTTGATACTTCTGATGTGAGGACTCAAATGTGTTGTTTTATTGAGCCTCTCTTTGATGCATCACTTAATGATATTCTGTCAAGTTAGAAAAGAAATTGTCATGCATATGTATGGTTACCTTTTTTTCGAGTTCATAGAGTACATCCTGTTGAATTATTATGTTTAATGATTTGAATTTTTATTTAAGTGTATATTTAAGTTTTTAGATTTTTTTTTGTTAGTATAAACTTAGAAATATTTTAATTATGATTATACATGATTGATAGTAATTCTATATGAATTTATTGCAGATGCCAGCAGTGCGTCCAAAACTTAATCCACAGCCCCAGAGTTTGAACCTCGATCAAATGATGAAGAGGAAGAGGACTTCAACAATCAAGTCTGCTCAGAAGGTATGTTGGCCAGGGTTTGTCATTGAGGATGCATCCAAGTAGGATTAAGAATTTGTTTGCTTTATTGTGAAATGTTATTGTCATTTTGTATGATAGGTTCTATCCTTTATTATTTATATGTTTAAATATTGTGATTATTATTTTTGAAGGTACAGATGAAAGGAATTGCAAGTTGTTTTATATCATTTTTTAAGGGTAAAATGGAGAGGCAAATAGAGAGGCATTTTCTAATATTATGTTTCATTTTTTTTTTTGAAATACTGGTGAGGAAGAGAATGGCATGGGATCTCTTATTGTTACTGATTGTCTTTAATGCAGATGAAGAAGAAAATATCAAGACTTCTAACAAGTGCTTAAGGACTTCCAAACCCTCAGAGTGTGAATCAAATCAGGATCCTGGAATTGCAACACAGGATGGAGATGAACTGTTCCAGTCAGATGATGATGAGGAATACATGGACGATGAGGAGGAAGAACAGGTTGGTTGGGAAGATGTGGGGAGGGTCTTGATGTTCACTTATTTGCCCTGTTGCATAAATGAAGTGTTAACATTGATGTGTTTAGGTAGTCTTTTATTGATAGCCAGTAGATTAGTCCATAGCAGGTATTAATTTTTAAGAATAGATTAATTCCTGGAATGTTTAGTCTTGATCAAGGTGCATTTCTCCCACAATATGCTTAGAATTTAGTTTCAATTTTTTTTTTCTTGTTTTGGTGGTTTGTTTTCAAGACTGGTTTAAGAGACTTATCTTACTTGGAGGTATAGTCCTCAAAGAAATAAGAATGTTTCACCATTTACAAAAAAAGGACCACATTTGATTTTAAGTATTTACTACTAAATTTAAAGAAAAGTAAGAGGTCCTAGATGGCCAAGTGTAAAAAACAACAATAATAAATGTTTTTTTGTTCACAGTATACTGAGAGCCTTGAGAACCAACTTAAACAGAAGCAAGAGCAGATTCAGACGTTGAATGACCGGCTGTACCAGATGAAGACTCAGATGGGCTTGGAGATCACAAAGCTCAAACAACAGGTGCAAGATATCAAGGAAGAGAAGAGGGTATGGGATTCCCTAACTGTTGTTTACAGTTTTGCATGTTGTTTAATGTGACTGAAAGTTGGATATTGAATATAAATGTATGCTCTTGATTTTAAGATTCTGAGAAATAAGAAGGTTGCTGGATTTTTATATCTGTAGAGCTTATTAATGAAGCCTTCAAATTTTACAGACAATTCAGACAGAAAAAGAGAGTTTATCAGCCCAGCGTGAAAGTGAGGCTAAGAAGCTGCGTTCTGAATTGTCTCGCTTACAAGAGGAGATGAAGGCAACGCAAACACGCACTCAGTCCCTAGAAAACAAGTGCGAGAGATCAAATGACCGTGCCAATGAGTTTGAGGCCAAACTTATGGAGGAAACAGTATGTGAAGAAGCATTTGTTTTATTACTAAAGTTTTGTTTTATTCAACTATAATATTGTTTATTATTATGTTTTTTTTTCAGTAGGAAGCTTGTTCAATATAAATAATTTTGTTTGTCTTATTTTAATTTGATTATTTACAGACATGTATTTTTAGTGATGTGAAAATTTGTGTTCAGGGGCTTGGTTATCTTTTGAAAAAAAAGAATAGAAAAATAAATAAAATAAAAAATAAAATAAAAATAGAAGTAAATGATTACATCTTTCAGTATATATATATTTTTGTTGTACCTTGACTGTCCATTAGCAAGTGCAGTCCTACATTCATGACATCATTCACTAAAAATCACCTGGATCTTTGATAATTGATTCCAATAATGTTGCAATGTTATAAATACATGATAACATATTGTGCTGAGAAAGGAATAGATGCAGGGAAGACCTCAAGGAAGAGGGGTGGGGAGGCACGTACCTGATGCCTGCCAGCCCCTGATCCCTGAAGTCTCCCATCCCCTTCCCCATCTGCCCCACCTGACAAGAGGTCACGTAACTGGTCAAAGTGGGTCATTCAGTTTGTCAATTACCGTTACGTCATGATGCGCTACCCACCCTTTCTTGAGGTCTTCCTTCCCCTCTGCCCCATCTGAAGGTGGGAGGGAAGATCTCGGGAAGAGGGTGAGAAACTGTTTTTACTGCAAATACAGGAAGGAGTGATTTGCAAAGGTAAATTTGTAAAGTTTTAATAACACACAAAAGATAAAAGACCTTTTATATGTACAGTGGTGAGGGAAAAGGAAAGGGGGGAGAGGAAGGGGAAGGGGAAATGCATCATCATATGAATGCCAAGGATGTAAGTTTGCCATAGGCTTTAGTTGTAGGCCCTGTCCTGAACCTTTCGGCATAGGCTGACACCCAGAAAAGTACAAACTCCTCAGCTGTCAGCATAGGCTGATGATCGGTAAATATGAGTTAATAGTGTTTTGATAACATTATGATAGTCATAATGTTAATAATAATTACAGTATTGAGTCATTATGTCAATAATTAATTACAGTACTGATAGTAATTGTATAAAAGAAGAAAAAAAATTCCCCCAAATCAGGGAGAGGGGAAATCAGGTGAGGTCACTAGCACCCACTTATTGCATTCTCTGAAAACAGTGGACAGTTAGTGATCCTGCAACCAATAGGTTTAGTTACTCAGACAAAGCAACTAAAAGTCAAAACCACACA